TATTTACATGCTGATATATCCAGGAATAACTTGCAAAATATTAGCAGGTATCTTCAAAGCTGGAAAGATCTACCAGGTGCAAGATGCAACAAACTTGAACGAGTCGTGAGAGATGACTGATGTCAACCAGCAAGCTCAGAGAAGAGCATCTTTATTACATGGTAGCTGCTAGGAAGGGCACTCGTATTTCTGCGAGACTGCTGGGGAAATACCAGAGCATGCGTAGGCAGAAACACCCTTGGATCACCTAAATGATGGAAAAAAGAACCACTTTGGCTTTAACACACAGAAGTTTCTTATGAAACAAAATAAACCCAGCACACTCACCACAGCCTGACTACCTTTCCTTGTTAGAATTAAAACCTTAAACACATACATTTACTAGCAACCCAAAGTCCTCTATACATGTAAAATGTTATCAATAAAGAAGCTTTTCCCCCTGCTTTGGCTCGAACTTCCCATTCTTGTTTACTGATACATCTTTTTCCAACCTGACTCCCTGATTCCCTCCCACTGAAGTCTCACCATGGGAGCTTTGGGGCAACGTGAGTTCACAGCAGGAAGATGGGGGAAAAGCTCACCAGAATTATTCGGCATGCAGGACTTTTCCATTTAAGATGGAAATGTAAATCATAAGATTTTAATAGTGGATTTTTAGGACATAAACAGTCTTTCTTTTGAAGCTAAAGGACAGCTAAATATAAAACCACACGCTGAATTCTCTCAGGTATAATTCCACACCCAGGATAAGCCTGTAACCCAAAATTATTCTTCTAAAACTAGGGATTTCTAAAATGAAAAGAGCTCTTGAAACAAGCCCCGAACTCGTGACATCAGACTTCTTGCTTTAATTACCAGCCTAGGACGAGAGACCAGTGTCCGGAGAGTAGCTCTAGGCGCCTCTCAGGCTCCTCCATGATCCCTTCCCCAACAGGCCCCATGGACCCAGACCCCACCCCTTCCACCCCAAATGCAGTCTCATGGCCCCCAGTGAACACCACAGCCTCCTGGCAACACAGACTCTACTGGAATAGCTTCTAGGCCAAAGCCCCAGAAAAAAAAATAAGCAAAACAAAAAACCACCAGCAAACCCCACCACGCTACCCAGTACCACTCGACACTCTCTCTTTCAAGGTTAGGGTAGTTAGGAAGAGGAGCAGCTGGGTTTTACTTCCCTATCTCTTCTTTATCTGCAGCTTCTTCAGCTGTACGTGGCTTTGCCCAGATGGTAACAGTGCTTCCGTAGGGGCAGTGCTACCACCAGGAGGCTGCTGTTGCGCCTGACCCACCGAAAGGCTTGCATTTCTTGTTACGGTGTCTTGCCAGGCTATGCCCGGGTGCCTACTGACGCCAGGGATGAGACCGACTGACCTGTAACTTCTCTCATTCTGGCGGCAAGGAAAGTGCAAAGGCGTTTCCAGACCCTGTCTTTACTGCTTGCCAGTTTCAAAACACCCATGAGGGCACTTGCCAGAGTCTTGCTAGTTTGGTTTAAGGTTCATTTAATAAGTCCTGCACAGTACAGGCCCAAGGATTTCCTTCTGTAGAACTCCTGACTACAAAACAAAGTTGAACCATTGTTGAATGACCTTTTTTTTTTTTAAAAAAAAAAAAAAAAAAAGAAAAAGAAACAACATCTTCACATAAATCCGCTATTCTACAGAAAAGCACGGCTCAAACTGTCAGACACCTTCCCAGCCATGGTGAATGAACTTTTTCAACCACATCCCTGCATTCTGTTTGAACCCTCCAGACCAGTCTCAGTGCCACTGCTGACTACTCCAACCATCCGATGGGTAGTGACCCAGGTGCATTTGTACCAGCTTAACATGCTTCTGTACGCAAAGGGATGTTTTGGGAAAGGCATATCAGCCGAAATACCATAACCGACATAACGTCCCAATCTTCTTTGCAAAGGTTTGAGCTGCACAGCCTGGCCTGTCTGGGACAGCTCTCCGTACCGATAACAGCAACGAAATCCAAGGTTACGGATCTCTCTTCTAACAGACCATACTGTCTTCAGGAGCAGCTTAATGGGAGCTGTAAAAAAAAAAAACCAACTACCAGCTTGCCTAAGAACAACTGCCCTTATCCTACCAAAAATAAGTTGCTATTGTTACCATTATGCCACATAACACAGCGGTAATGTTATGATCCAATTCCAGATCAATAGGAAATCTCTTCCCTTTCCCTGCACCTCTTCCCCGATCATCCCAGTCTAGAGAAGCGAGACCAATGAAAATACTGGGGAACATAAGAACCTTTAACACATAAGAAGTAGCATCATAATTTTTCCACCTTTTCAGGCAGATTGGGGAAGAGGAAGAAAAGAAGACAACAAAAAAATCAGCCTGACTTGCAATGGAGGAGGAGACAGGAGTACATGTCACGGTATCAGCAGCGAAATACCAGAATAGTTTATATAGGACAAAGTCTTTCTTAACTGCTTCTTTGAAGCCACTTACAAAACGTGTCCTTTGATTATGATCTAGGCTTACCATATCTTGCCACAGTGGCAAAGCTCAGACTAGGCAGTTACGCTGCCTCCTCCACTCTGCATTTACAGGCCTCCAGATACGGTTACCTCCACAGCTAGCAAGAGGCTTTCCTGGGCTTGGCATTCCGAGCTGTGAAAAACTATACTACTGCGGACTTCTTGGGAAGGAAGAGGTCTTTGAAAGGTCTTTTTGTGGCTTGAGTATGTGGGTGGCCCAGCCATGCTGCGTGAAAATCCACGTACAAAGAGGAAGACTGTTTTTTCTAACAGCTTAAATCTAAACAGGCAGAGGGTTGGAGATACAGAGCTTCAGCAGACACAAAGCTACAAGTTACGCTACTGCTTCCTTTCCTGCCTTGCCTCTGATGCACCAGAGGGAGGGGTACCCCATCTACCTATGAAATGGTACCTGAAACACTACAGCACAGTCCAGTCTGAGAGGAAAAAACCCCAAAGCAAGCTGTTATACTATCTGTTAAATTATCTTCTAACCAAAAACAATTGCGTAGCACTTGAATAGCAACAGCAGGAAAAAAGCAGACTAAATCCTCGGGCAGCAGCTTTGCTTGCCTTACTAACCAGCAAACATACCATAAAGCAATACAGCACAGATCACGGTGCAGAATTTTCTCCTGTCATTACACAACAGAATAGGCAAAGAACCTCCTTGGGACTGTGAACGTCTCTGATCTTCACTTCCCAGCCACAGAGTTGTGAATTTGGATTCAAATCCCAAACTACAGCTGTGAATTTGAGGCCCTTGGCTCATCCCACCAGTTACAAGTGAACTGCTGTTGCTATTACCAACGTTCCCAACACGACCCGCTCTCTTGCATCTCATCTTTCAGTGGAAGGAATTGCTCTTGCCAGTTGGGAATCCTTCCTACTGTTTGGGGAAGGCCAGCATGGGAAGCGCAACTTATCACATGCCAAGCCACTTTGGCTATAGCCGAGCTGGGCCCACGGATCACGAACTCCCAGTACTCAACCCTCTTCAGTTCTGCTCGACTGCTGGATCGCCCTGTTCTATAAATAACCTGCAGCCAAACCGTGCTGCAGGCCTAGCGAGCAGCCCTTGCAGAGGCGGCTGGCTCTACCGGGAGGGCCACGGGCAAAGCAGAAACCTTTCCCCAGAGCACCCCACGGCCGGAGCCTCGACACTGGGGCCCGCCAGCGGGGCAGGAG